ATGTTTTTCCCTGTGTATCCTATTGTGGATACTGGTTTTGTTAACTATGATTCTTTTTTATTTTTCCTTTTTTTTTCTTTTTTTTTTAGAATATAGCAATAATGCTATTGCTGAAATGAATGATTTTTTTTCTGAAATGTAATCATTGATGCTTGAATGATAGAATTTTAGTACTGTAAACAGGCTTTAGTAATTAATGTGAGAGAATTAGAAGAAGTGCTTAGAATGGACTATTAAGTGTGCCTAAATGAATTTTGCAGTAACTGGTATTTTTGGTTTTGTCCTACTTAATGCACATTAATTCAGAACTTGTATTCTGTTAATGAGTTTGACAGTCTTTTGGAGTGACCAGCAACTTTGATGTTTGCACTAAGATTTTATTTGGTATGCAAGAGAGATTGATGGCAGTTCAGTAGTACACCTGTAACTAATTTATTTGAAATATATGTTAAATAAATCTTCCAGTTTCTTCAGATGCCTTTTGAAACTCATCACCGATGATTAGTGAAAATGCAGAGTATTATACCTTTCTTCTTGCATGCCATCTACATGAAACAGTTTTGTACAATGAGAAATACTAATTTGTTTGACATTCCATGTTAAACTACTGTCAAGTTCAACTTCATTGCATGTAACGTAGGCCTAGTCCATCGGATCATGTGTTCTGGAGAGTGTTCTTTATTCAATAAAGTTTTAATTTAGTGTAATAATGGCCTCTACATCCTGTGTGATTTCTAAAACTTATTGCATCTATTCACAATCATCAAAGACTTTTCCATTGGTTATGAGGATTTGGGCAAATAAGGATCACAAGATTCAGAAATCTTTGAAAGGACACTACTTACCATTGGCTGGGTTTACTGCAACAGTGTTAACATTTTTGGATATTCAACTGAGAAGAAAAAAGTATAGAAGTTAGATTTGGAATATGTCCAAGTGCTGAGATGGCTGTGACAAAAAAATGAAATATATCTATGATTTTATTATTTCAACATACTGAAAATAAGATTTTGAAAAACGTTTTTTAAAATTTATCTTTCTTGTTGAAAATATTGCTGATGTCCCGTTTTTTTGTTTTCCCAATGACCCCTCTACCCCTCCCAGGCCTTCACCACTCTATTATCTGTGTGCTTGGGCTGTGCATATAAGTTCCCCAGTCCGCACCCACTCCTTAACCCCCACCTTCCCTCTAAAAATTCATCAGTCTGTTTCATGCTTCTATATCTCTGGATCTATTTTGTTACCAGTTTATCTTGTTCATTAGATTACACATATGAGTGAGATCATGTGATACTTATCTCTGACTAGCTTACTTCGCTTAGCATAATACTCTCCAGATCCATCCATGCTAAAAAAAAAAAGTCTTAATGCCCCCCAAAACCCAAATTATTTAGAGGAATTAGACAATTCTGGGCAATTGATAATAAGTATATTAACATTTTTAGTCACATTTCCAGAAAGTTTTTTTAAACTATAAGTCTTGTTTATATAAGTACTAGCACAAAGCTAACTTAGATTTCTGGAACATAAAAATACTAATTTTGAAATAATTTAGTCCATTTCAGTTGCTTTTTTTTCTATTTTGATTAACAAAAGTTATGAGATTTTCTTAAACTCAAAGGATTATTTAATAAACAGCTTCCCAGTCAATTCACATAATTAATAGTGGCAGCAATTCAGGTATCATTTGGCTGGCTGAGAATCCAATGGGAGAGATAGGTTTTCTCTGCCTGGAGTGTTTCCACTTAATATGGGGAATAAAGAAACTGAAGATTTGAATGTATATGTTCGTCTCTCCTACACAAGCAGGGTCGCTGTGTGTGGATGGACAAGTGGTTCATACTACTGAATGTTCGAGTAGTAAGGTGGAATTAAAAATGGGGCTCTGGTGGGATGAAGTGGGATGGCAAGCTACATCTTTGAGAAGTAGTCATAGTACATCCTAAACATTTCCCAACTTGAATGCTTTTCACTGCAAAAAAGCATTTATTTTTATTATTTTTTTAAAATATATTTTATTGATTTTCCACAGAGAGAAAGGGAGAGAGATAGAGAGTCAGAAACATCGATGAGAGAAACATCGATCAGCCGCCTCCTGCACATCCCCCACCGGGGATGTGCCCGCAACCCAGGTACATGCCCTTGACCGGAATCGAACCTGGGACCCTTCAGTCCGCAGGCCGACGCTCTACCCACTGAGCCAAACCGGTTTCGGCTGCAAAAAAGCATTGAAACATGATAAATACGCAGTCTTAAACTACAAAAGTATATGAAATAGAAAATGAAACCTCTCACCTCTCCGCATTCTCCACCATACACATCAGAGAAGTTTTAATTCCCAAAATGAATTCCTGTTAAAAGTTGCAGACTCCACCCTAAGTAGTGGTGGTTCTTAGAATGACCTCACAGTCCCTGCCCCACGAAGCTTAGGATGTGAAGACTTCCGTAAGTTTGAAAAAAAATGCTGCTTCACTCATCTTTCTCATCTCAATTGGCCGCCTGCTTTCCACAACTAAAAATGATGAGAAAATTATGCAGTCTCATTCTACAACTAGTTTTGGGGTTTTTTTTGCATAAAATTTTGTTTAAAAATCAGAAAATTTTGAATCTTCTAGAACTACTAGGACTTTGTGATGGTGGACATGTTTTATTCTGTTCACTATGGTAGCCACTAGTCGCACACAGCTTTGAGCACTTGAAATGTGACCAATGAGTGAAAAAAATGAAATTCCTTTTAGGATATATGCATCCCTATGTTCATAGCAGCACAATTTACAATAGCTAAGATTTGGAATCAGCCTAAGTGCCCATCAGCAGATGAATGGATTAAAAAACTGGCACATCTACACAATGGAATACTATGCTGCTGTAAAAAGGAAGGAACTCCTACCATTTGCAACAGCATGGATGGAGCTGGAGAGCATTATGCTAAGTGAAATAAGTCAGTCAGAGAAAGATAATAATTATCACATGCACTCACTCATTTGTGGATTATAATGAGCAACATAAAACGATGAACAAAAACAGATGTAGAGACAGCAGCATCGATCAGATGCTCAACTCAGAGGGAAGGTAGGGGAGGGTGGGGGTGAGGGGGAGAGATCAACCAAAGGACTTGTATGCATGCAGATAAGCATAAGCAATAGATGTGGACAACAGGGGGGTGAGGGTGAGGGCAGGATTGGGGGGATAAGAGGACATTGGGATAAGGACACATTTGTAATATAATCAATAAAGGGAAAATAAAAAAATAAAAAAAGAATTTCCTTTTATTTAAATAGCCACATGTGGCTAGTGGCTATGGTATTGGGCAGTGAAGTTCTAGAGCTTGTTGGAGTGGCGGGGCGGGGGGGCGGGAGTGTTTAATATTGGGTGGAAATTGAAGAGGATAGTATGTTAGAAATGGGAATAGGGAAGATAAAGGTCTTTTTTATAATCATAACAGTATTTCTTACTCTGTAAACAATAGCAGACTCTTACTTTACAGAAAGCTTCTGCTTTAATATGAAATCCCCCAGCCTTTTGTTAATCACATGCTTTATATTGCCGTTGTTTTACTTCAGAGTTTTATACACCAACTTACGCTGCCTATTTTTGAAAGTGGTGGGATTGTCTGCAAGCTTCTGACATCCCTTGACAACTTTAAACGTTTTCATGTTGGTACCATAAAAACAAGGCCGTGTATTCTGGCGATTAGGATTTCTTCTTACCGGTGTGCTCTTTTAAAATTACCCCCTACCCACCTTGTTACAGAAAGCATCCCTTCTTCTTTGTGTTTTAATATTACCCAGAAAGTTGCAAAGTGTCCTGATACACAACATCATATTGAAATCTCATTTTGAAGAATTTAAGTTGGTGTAGCATGATTTTTTTTCCAAATAAAGCCTCTCGTCCAGAAAAAAAAAAAAAAGTGGCAGGATTGTCTAATGTCTTCAAATATTGGGAAGAAGTCCAGTGCCTGTACTTGGTTCAGTGCTAACATCCCAGCCCCTGTGGGTCTTCGTTAAGCTCTCACGCCATAGGCTGTTCTTTTACCTTATTTTGAGAAA